AAACAATTACTGGCATCCAGAGCTCGAATAACTGCCCCTTATTAGGCGTCTTGAATATTTCTTTTTCAGTAAAAAGGGACGCCAGGGACAGAGCAGCGAGTCCGGAAGCGAATTTACTCAATCAGCGTTCGGGACGTTTATATAACTGACCCCTGAACTTGTCAGCAAATGAAAGACAATTAGATTGACAACGTTCTAGGCTTATAACTTCGTTACGGTGGAACTAACGAAGCCAAGAACGGAACAGCGAAATGAAATTTCGAAAATTAATCAGCGATGTCAGCTAAAGATTCTCCTTAAGGACTTTACCACAATTTTGTGAGATCAGAGTCAAAAATTAACTGTAAATATAAGTCCAAATAATTGTTTATGTTACACAGGGATACATATGATCTTTTATGGTCCTGTACCAAAAAATAAAGGAACTGATGCTCTTACCTTTTTTATTTTACTTTGTTTTTTTAAAACCTTCAGTAATATAGTACAGATGTAGGGGATGATGAGAAGTTGGTAATTATAAATTAGCTAATCGTTTCAATGTATGATTAATCCATTTTCAAAGTGCTAGTAGCTAAAGTTCCCTAGACAAAAATTTTCAATCTCTCTCCAGTCTCTCAGAGTCTTCCAGAGTTTTTCAGCGTCTCTGAGAGCGTCACAGTCTTTCACAGTCTCTCAGTTATTGCCTAGGTATTTTTATGGATCTCTCACACTCTCTGTATGAGAGATTCGAACGACAAAATTGTTAATTCAGAGATTCGTGTCTCTCTCGTAGAAAGACTGGGATCTCTAAAATATATTGAATTTAGAAAATTTTAACCATGTCTATCGAGACTCCACTTATTGAGAGATTCGAGTCTCTTGTTCAGAGATTCGAGTCTCTCGTTCTGAGACTGGATACAAAATTAGGATCTCTCTATGAGCGACTCGAGTCTCTCGTTCAGAGATTCGAGTCTCTCGTTCAGAGACTGGATACGAAATGAGGATCTCTCTATGAGCGACTCGAGTCTCTCGTTCAGAGACGCTAAACAATTTTTTTGACAGTCTCTCGACAGTCTCTCTCAGCGACACCAGAGAAACTCGATGGGAGGACTCGAGTCTCGCTTTCAGAGACTCTAAGAGACTGAACATTTTTTTTCTGTAATGTCCAATTATACATTTCCCATTCCTTATCAGCGTATTCACATTATGTAACCAATGAATTTTTCCCTAACGTTTTCTTAATATTATCATGATCTTCATAAGGCCATTAGTCCAAAGACTACTTTGACTTTTCTTTCACGAGAAAGATAACATCACACATAATATTACTTTCAATTAGTAATCTAATTTAAGGCTTTCCTCTGTTTGTTGATACCCTTGTTTCCGCTTCTAAAATGTCTATGTATATTTTTCCACGTTTCAGATAGACCCTACCATCTTATCTCACCTTCTCGTTACTGACTTTTGCAGCGCCCTCTGTTTTCTCACTTTTTCCAATATCTATACAGTTCCTCATTCCTAACGTTCTATGTACTAAATTGTTCTGTTTGTTACGTAGGTCGTATATTGCGCAGGACACCTTCAGACTGAAGGAAATTAAGAGCATAAAGCGGTTTATTGTATTTTGACAATTCTCTAATGTAGCTCTGTTTTGAGTGAAGAAAAGAAGTCCTCGAAGTTGTAAGTTGTTTAAGTACGTATCACCTTATGAGGGGAAAATGGCAGCTTTATATCGTGTTCGTAAAAGGCAAAGATAGTAAAACGAAATAGCTTCAGGTAATGCATCCTTTAAATGCAAGATACAGGGAAAGTGCTAGAGTACAGCTCTGTTCGGTAGGTTATAAAATACGTGCTAAAGCTTGTAATGGCGCACTTCTTTTCCGACATGGCTAACCTAGTTTGACTTGATTAGATTGGCGGAATTAAGTTCTGTTACACTCTTAAAAAATTTTGCTTCAGGCTACGAAAATTTTGATGTTGATTGCTCGTCAACATAAAAATTTAATTTGAACGATATCAGTAAAAGAAGAGTAATAAAAATATATTTTTGAGCTGAATTAGTTCCGCGGTTGACTAAATTAATTTTCACAAAAAATATTTGAAATAAGAGAACTTAAAACGGAACAGTTTACAACAACGTGTCGTAACTTTTGTGAAATGATTACTGACCTAATGGCTTTCGTTGCCGTTTTACAGATAATTTTTCAAACAGTACCTACGGAAAATGCCCAAAGTAAATATACGCTATTTTGTAGCATTTTACCTGCACTTTTCTCGCCGCAAACAACGTTATGCAAAAAATTAACGTCATGGAGTTTGTTCAGGGCAACATACCAAAAATAAAAAGGTAGAAAACGAACAGCAACGGTTTCCCTAACGAAGCAGATGTGGTTGGTTGCAAGTTGTAGCGCATAAATTTTCCACTGGTCGTGAATGTGTTTTTTCCCTCTGTAACAACTTCAATGTTTCAGGATGCGCCTGATTAGCTGTTCGTCCTTGCATACAAATTCTCTAGGTTTTTCACAAAGATCCGCGACATTTGCATTAAATGCACGCCTTCTTAAAACTCCTGAGCTGCTGGACATCATATCTAAACATGTGTTTCGCGACACGTACGCTTTTTGTGCATAATTCTGTGTCCGGGAAATTTTCCGTGACTGGCACAAATGAAAAATGGTTTAGAGGTGAATTTTTACGGCATTCCGCAAAATGCGACATATATATCAGATACAATTAGCAGTCGGTACCCATTCCTTTTAATATTTCTTTCACAGTAAAAATTGATAGTCGTTGTCTGATTTTATCTTATTCAAATGCTCATTTTCGATGGGAAATGGAAATAAAGATTAAATATTCTGTTCGTAGGATTTAACTTCCTGTTTGATTTAACTCGTCCTCTACAGGAAATTTCTCCTGCGTTTTTCATTTAGGAGCTCGTTCTTCGATTTCGTGTACAATAATAGCTACAAAGAGAGTCATTTTAAATTCTAAAAGCTTTTCCTGAAACGATCGTTGCCGATGCACCTTCACATTTGCTAGCGAATTTCTTGCGAGAATATTACATTTAGTGAAAATAGCTGCTACAAGCGCGACATCTAGTGTAGTCCCGTTTTGTACTGCCCCATTTCGTACCTCGCAAATATTCTACCTGTTTTATAACATAATTATCAACGTGACTTATTTTGTATCCTTATTTGACATAAAACCGCCACTGTTTACATTCTCCGTCGATGTAGTCACGTAGCTGCTTAGTTATTATGACAATTTCTCTGTACGTTTCCAATTCATGCTCAGGATCGACTTCGGATTGCAACTTCTTTCCGTTTTCTTACAATTTTTTTCGTCCCTTAACTACAATTCTTTACTTTCCCTATTTAATTGAGTTAACACCCTCTAAAGCGTGCTTATTATTTCAAAAACATCCTGTACAATACGCATGTTAACCAGAAAGCAGTTTGAGTAGCTGATGTAAAATTTATGTATAAAAAGCAGCCAACGAAGTGTTGTATATGCTTAGGAGAAGATGGTAAAAGAAGCAATCGCTATCATTATTGATTATCTACAAGCTGCGACAATACATCGTCCGCCTGCTGGCTGGCAACTGATAAATTGCTGTAAGGCAAACTTATTTATTTTCCCTTCTCAGTTGAAATCCAGGTGCAATAAGTAGACATGGATAAAATTAGGTTTAAGACGAATGGCGACCACGGATGGAAAAGATTTAGCTCATGCACTTACTTGGCTCTATAAGCGTTTCATTTGTCTTCAAGTAACAAGGATTACCAGGTCCTTTACGTTGTCGGGTTTTTCTTTGAATGTGCTCTCAAGATTTTTATAAAAGGAGAGTTTACTAGTGAACGATTACACCTCAAAAGGACGATGAAAAATCTACTTTTAAGTGATTTCTTCACACATTGTCAGAAATAGAATAGAGTTTATGAAATGATAAATTTTTATGCGAGACTGGAAGGTAACAGTAGTGAGTAAAGATATTAAACATACGATTAAACCCGTTGGAATGAGCGGAGGTAATGTCGACATTATTGTTGTAAAACTAGTTATAATTTTCTAAAAACATTTGCAAGGACGAAGAAAGGAAGACAGAAGGAGGGAGAGAGAATAAAGATCGGTTTCAACTTTCACTAACCCGACTACAAATTTCGGTTCACTTTTTTTAAGTCCTTTATTAGCCCAACCGACTTCCTTACTCACTCCGAATAAGGCAGTCGAAGGCTTTAGTTAGAAAAATAACGCACTTCCCTGTTCGTAACTAATTAGGAGTGCTTGAATTAAGGATCTCATCCGCACCAAATTAGGACCTTAACTATCCCGATTAAAAAAAAATTTTTAGGTTTGCATTATAACTGATATTTAGAAATATGATTGGGGTTTAATTATTTAATTATTAAAAAGTCGAACTTTAGTGAAAATCAAAATTAAAATTCCTAGTCAGGTCCTTATGACAAACATATCCCGCACCTATATTATCCTAATGTCCTTTATTTCTTAATACATTTTCCTACCATGAGTACATTCATATTTTATATTATATTACTATTAATATTTAGAAGAAAAAGTAATGAACATAATATGCTATAACATTTAAGAATATCATTAGTAAAATAAATATTCTTAAATTTTATAGCACTTCGCGGGACATACACTCGAGTATCAAACTACTATTATTTTGTACAATGAGCGGTTTGGGATTAATTTTCATCGGATAATGCATAGTTCCC